CAGCAGGAAGAATTAAGCACACAAAACACCAGGAGAAACATTCTGTAAAACACATGCAAGCATTTTCTGCTTCATTTTGTGAAGACAATAACAAGGGAAACACATTGAACAAATAACTGCAACACATCAAGCTGATCCTTAACATTAAACGCTATTGTCAGAAAATCAGCAGAACTATGATTTGGGGAGACTCTGAATATTGATAAAAACATTGCCTCCATGATAGGCAGAATAACTTTATTTATGAAACCACCTTGGGCAGATTGGGAAATTCATGCGCTCTATGAAAACAGCAAATTTTCTGTCAAACGTACACATATTTTGTTTTGGTTTAGGAAGCATGCTGTTTCTTCATTTTTACTTTATCTTCATGTCAATTTATGCAAGGGATAATAGCAAATTTGCTTCTTGGATCTGCTGACTTCAGAAAATATTCCTGTACCTTAAATATTTTTCAAGTAAAGACAAAACTCTTGCTTAAAGGCTTATGGTCCTGTGTTTGTGCCATTTCGTATGGTAATAACACTTGGTTTCTTATTCACATTCATAGGAGTAAAACATCACAAAAAGAAAACTATAGCTCCACTAATTACATCTACACCCAAAGCCATGCAGCACAAACTGATGGGTAAAACAGGTAAAAAAATTGGGCTTCTGTGTATGAGCAGTTAAAAAAAAATTTAGATTAGCTATTCTTGTACTTTTGTATTCTTCCCCATCAAAATGAGGATTCATTTCCCAAAGGAAAAATAAGAACTATAGCTTCTTCATTTCCTCTACTGAACTCTCAGTTTTCTACTTAAAAACATTCAAGGAATAAGTAATCAAATTGTTGTAACTTTTTGTAAAAAAAAGCAAAAACGTTCTCCTTATTTCTACTTCATCCAATTAATTGACAAAACAGACGCAGATGCTTTTAAAAAAACAAGTCGTGTTCTTTCGCAAGAGATGTTTAACTGCAATTCTCCATCAGTAACAGAAGTCTTGTAATGAGTTTTAAAGGTTCAATTCATTAAAAGAGTTATTAAGATATATTATATTTACAGGCTTTTCATGGCATTCTGCACATATTCCCAAGTACCACTTGTAAGTTTTGCTGCTGTTCAGTCAGATTTCATAAAGGAAACAGAACAGGTGCATGGCTGCTGAATCACCACAATAACCTCTTAGTTGTACCAGGTTAATGGGCATAATTTCTTAAGTACTTAAGCAATTATCTGGTGTACATACTGGTTCCAATTCTATCCCTAGCACCACATCTGCTCTCTTGAGTATTAAGTTGTATTTCTGAACTACTGATAGCAAACTTCTAAAGTGACCAGCTTATCAGATCTAGAACCTATGGTTGGTCAAGGATTCCCATATATATATATATATATATATACACACATACATATGTATGTTTATATGTGTACATCTATATGTAAAAATAGTCAGATGAACTTCTATTTCCTTTTTTTTAGAGAGAAAAGAGGAAAGGAAAAAGACTGATGTAGAGAGGGCTATGACTGAAACTAAAAGGAAAGGTATGGTTTTGGAATGTTTCTTATTGGCTTCATTCAGCTTTTACTCCCACTTATGCCTCAAATCCCACGTTTTTTTGAAAGGTTAATCCTTCACTTCTGGCTCTGTATTGTCCTTCTTTTAGTCGCTTAGTCCTATTTGCTTCTTATCACTTCTTCAAAATCTGACACCTAATACGTTCAGTGTTTTCTGTACTCTTTTTCTGCCAAATATAAAATCATGCTTAGTGACAATCTATGGGCTTGTCAAACAATTTAATGGAGTCTCTTTGTAAAGCAGCTCATAGTGATACTACCACTCACAAAACTCATGGGAGATGTTATACCAATTTCTGAAGGTGGGG